TTTTTTTTTTTTTTTTTTTTTAATAATTTATTTATTTAAATAAAAAAGAGCGGGAAACCCCACGTTAATTCATTTTCAAAACACGAAAGAAGAAAATCTCGAGGGGCCCAAAATGGTGAGATTTGAATATTGGATTTCACATTTATTAAAGTAATATATATTATATATATTAGTTGAAGACGACTATATGAATCCAGGCAGCCACTGTGACCTGTCATCTTCTCCGGACGCATAAATCATAACGACTGTGCTTGTTTTCGTTATTCTTATTTGGTATCGAAACGCACTTGACAACTCAGCCGCGAAATTAAAAGACCTCCAACCCCGCCTTTTTTTTTATTTATTATTTATTATTATTAAATACCAACCGGAATGGGCGGCGCTCCGTAACGGAGATACACACATTTAATACAAATTCTAAATTCACGGCGGTTACTTTTCTCCGTTTTTTTTTTTTTTTTTTGCTATCGTGGCGTGCCACGTCATACGGAGTGCCCACGAACAGGGAAACGTGTTTCCCGTGTTGCATGCCACGTGGATAGTGACTACACAGAACACGTCGGATGCTAAGCGTGCCGCTTGGGAGAGTGATGCGACGGCTACGTCAGAGAGATGAGTTGTGATTCTTCCGTCAAGCGAATTAAAAGCTGCCACGTTGGCGAAGAAAGCATGTGTGGAAGATTTACGAAGGTACCCTCGTTTTGGAGTGGGACTTGGAATAATAAATCTTGATTAATTCTTATTCCTTGTTTGGGAGGAGATCCTTTTTCAATTCTAATCGTCACATCACAATATCATCTTCCAAATATTAAAAAACTTCAACTTTCCAAACGTGATTTTTTCCCATTATTTAAAAGAAATGTCCATATACGTATATTTTTTAAAAGATAATTCTTACCTTTTTTATTTGTAAATTAATTAATTTTTGTTGGGAGAATAAATAAAACCGAGGCCAGGAACACGACAACATGCGAGGGGGAAAAGAAAAGCGGTGTTGTCACGTGTGAACGTCATTATTCCGGTCGCCAAATCCATTCCCTACTTAATTAGCAAGCTAAGGCCGGTTTTGAAGGGAGCAGCGGGGACCACTTCGCACCACCTGGACAGTCCTCACCACCACGTTCACGTCCTCAAATCCGCGCCATTTCTTATTTCGGTAGCTTACCTAATCCCTCCCCCCTTTCAGTCAACTGCAAGCAAACACAACCCTAATGTAATCCCACGTGGCGTCCTACCTGGATTCTCTCTCCGTTCCTACTGGGCTTAGTACACGTGTCGCGTTTCTGGTTGACCCATTTTTACTTGGTCGGGAAACAGAGTGGTCCCGTGCGGCGAGTGGGAGAATTAAAATGCAAGTGCCGCGGGAAGTTATTCGGTGCAGCGATACTCACGCCTTCGACGTGTGAGCCCCCAGCCGATATATTTTTATTAAAAAAGGGAAAATAATAAATTAGTTGTAAATATAAGTGCGACCTTCCTAGAGCCAAAGAGTCAAGACCAAGGCGTGCTTTGTGCTCGGAACAGAGAGAATACTAACTCTTCTTCACAAAGAGAGCAACAGTGAAATAACCGATAGATTCCCGACTACCGGCGACTTCGCCCCTTCTCTATGGTGCTTCACTCCTCCGTCTGGAACTACTTAAGGCAACGGAAGTTTCGAGGATAACGCCATTTTTGGTTTTGCCTTCGCATTCGCTCGCCGATTAAGATCTCTGTTTTCCCCGCTGCTCTGGAGATTTTCTCGTCTGGATTTCGGTGTTTAGAGTGCTTTAATTGCCTCACTGTATCCTAGTTTACGATCAGAATTGGAAGTTAGTATGGTGGAGATGGAGTGGCCTGGGAGTCTTGATGAATACTCGAAGCTTATCAATCGGATCAACATTCCCAGGTTTGATTCTTCAATCTCTTGCGGTCTCTCTTTCCTACGGTGTCAATCACTTCTAATCGTTCACTTTACTGCTATTCTTCTTCTGCAATATCATGATTTTCTGGTCTACAGTTGGCTAAGTTTGCTGTAGTTTGATCATTCTATCGGATTTTTCTCCCTATAATTTCTTTTTCTTCGATCTATTAGGTTTTAGTTTTAATTAGTTTACGATTTGCAAATCCTTGGGTTCCCTTATCGGGGAACAGTGTTTGCTTATTTTAATCACCGCAATCTTCTCTTTCCTTTTCTGAGAAATTTCTTTCCCCACACGTTTTCAGATTCGTTCCGACTCCGATCTCTGCGTCCACACGCTTTCAACTGAGAAGAGATTTGAAATTACCGACCGGAATTTCTTCCTTATATTTTTCAAAATTTTTCTAGAATATCTTGAAGGTCCCTCGTTTGAACATAAAACCGGTCTGCATCAAGTCTTTATAATTTTATGGTTTGTTTGACTATGTCTAGCGGCATCATTCAACCATCTTTACCGGGACTTTTCTGAGATCCATGTGGCTTCTTATTTTGAAATTTCAAAGCCACTAAAAAAAGTAATTAAACTTGACGTAACTTGACCTTTTGCGTCCTCTTTTGTAGGGTGGTGATCGACAATGCCGTTTGCGAAACCGCGACTCTGGTCAAGGTCGACAGTGCTAGAAGGCATGGAATCCTCCTGGAAGCTGTACAAGTGTTAACCGACTTGAACCTTTCAATTCAGAAAGCTTACATTTCTTCAGATGGAATATGGTTCATGGATGGTAAGGTTATCTGTCTTTTTCTCGTAAACAGCATTTAATGCGAATTGCTAATTAGGAGGCATTTTATTCCATTTTTTGTTATGAATTTCCTTGTATTAAATTTTCTTGCAGTTTTTCATGTGACTGATCTTGATGGAAATAAATTAATCGACGAGGGCGTTATTAGCTACCTTGAGAAGGTAATTATAACAGCCTTCATACACCAATTAAATCAATTATAATCATTCTGTGAATGCTTCGCTTCCCATTCTCGTTTTGCAACTTATTTGACTTGTGGGATTGTCTTACAGTCACTTGCAACGATTCACTGTGGCAAACCTGCCGCCTCAAATGACTTGACGGCCTTGGAGCTAACCGGGACAGACCGTGTTGGTCTTCTCTCCGAGGTGTTTGCAGTCTTGGCTGAGCTTGAATGTGATGTTGTTGAAGCCAAAGTGTGGACCCACAATGGCCGAATAGCTTCATTAATATATGTGAAGGACTGTAATTCTGGTTCTCCTATCAAAGACTCCCAGAAAATAGACACTATTGTTGGACGTTTGAGGAATGTTCTAAAAGGGCAAGATGACATTCTATATGCCAAGACTTCAGTCTCTATGACAGTCACCCATACTGAAAGAAGGTTGCACCAAATGATGTTTGCTGATCGCGACTATGAAAGGAAGCCTGTCTTACAGCATAGTGATGATTCTCCTGTGGTAACAGTTCAGAATTGGGTGGAAAGAGGTTACTCCGTTGTGAATGTCCAGTGTAAAGATCGAATGAAGCTATTGTTCGACGTCGTTTGCACGTTGACAGACATGGATTATGTAGTTTTTCATGGCACCATCACTACAGCAAAGGATAGAGCATATCTGGTAAATGTTTTCCCTACTTCTTGGGTTCGTTTTCTTTCATGTGATGGCTCAATCGTCTTGTTATTGACAGCATCTGTCCTTGATTTTCATCAGGAACTTTACATCCGACACACTGATGGTACCCCAATTAGTTCCGAGGCTGAAAGGCAGCGTGTTATCCAATGCTTACAAGCTTCCGTAGAGAGAAGAACATCACAGGTACATGACATATTTAAACGTGTTATTGATCAAATGCCTAGATGCATTATCCAATTCTTGCAGACATTAACTGTTTAGGATATTGGTTTACAACAGGGTGTGAGATTGGAGTTACGCACAACCGACAGGCCATGTCTCTTAGCAGATGTGACGAGAACGTTCAGAGAGAATGGCTTAAACGTCACAAGAGCAGAGGTATCCACCTCAGCGGATGTAGCTCTAAACCTCTTCTACGTAACCGATGCACTGGGGAATGCAGCAGATGTGAAAACCATCAACTCCGTCCGGGAGAAAATTGGGTTGAGTTGCTTGAAAGTGAAGGAACTGCCATTGATTTCGCAACAAAAGACAGAAGGGGAAGAGCAGGGTGTGGGTGTTGGTGGGACCGTTTTGTTCTCTCTTGGGAGCATATTGAGAAGGAACCTCTACAACTTGGGATTGATCAGGTCATACTCGCAGGCATAGAGAGCATCAAAAGGAAAAGGAAAGAAAAAAAAAAAAAAACCAATTGAGTTATTCAAGATTTGTCCATATGTCTGCTTTTCTTTGCTTTGGTATATTCTTTGCTTGAACTATGAGCATCATATAGTGTACAGAAAAGAATCAAAATTTGAAAGAAAGAAAGAAAAAGGGTGGGTACTTTGTTGATCGTAGTCTAGTAGTTGGTATAAGTTGGTTTGGTGGGTGGAATTATTTGATACACTTAAGTGGGGAAGAGAACATGTTGAAAAGGTGATGGGTAAAAGAGTAGTGTTTATTATAGGTCTGCTGCTTAGCTGCTGGAAGACATGTTAGGTGAGGAAGGTAGGAGAAGAAGATAGGATTCACAGCTTAACACATTGTACATAACAAACACCCTTTTTCAAGTACTTGAAATTTATGTTGACTTTTTTTTTTTTTTTCTTTTCCCCCGCACATGGCGTTGTTTGTATTTAATTAAAATTAAGCCATAATCTTGTCTTTCGGCAATTAAAAGTGGTCAAAGATGCTAAAGATTAAGCGAATGCGTAGGGCAAGGGAGACGGCTAATTGTCGTTACTGTCTTGTCTTTTCTACTCTTGTCTTGAAGAAAGGGGAAAACAATAGTAGAGCCGACATGTATGTAGCAGGTTGTGTTCTATAATTGCACTCAAATTAAAGCTAATACGAACAACACTGTCAAATCATCTCAATTTGGAGAATTTGAAGATCCCATATGAACACACCGAAAGAAGGTAATCTTGAGTTGACTTCACAAGTCCAAAGAGAAAGAAAACAAGATCATTGTTTGTGAGTGGTGGTCCAAATCAGTGGGTTGTTTCGTGTTACATGAAAAAGGCCAGAGCCTTCATCAGGCATTGGCGTGGCATGAAAAATCCCGGCGGCCGGCGAGTGAGTGCCCAAAACTGCCTTTTTTTTTCAAAACGAACAAACAAAAAGAATTAAAGGTAGGAGGAGGTCGAGAATCACAAGCACCAATGTGAGCCCTCCTGTTCTTTTCTTTATCCCACGGGACCCAGAGGCTCTGCTTTAGTAACACGTCTTTTTTAACTATTTCTTTCTTTCTTTCACCCATTTAATTCGTCTTTTACTAGTTTTGAACTTCAACTTTGGTGCTGCTCCATTTCCCACTTCCCTTTTTAATTCAGCATGAGATTCTGCTGCTCTAAAACTGGGCTGCAAAAATTAAACAATAAAAATACCTTTTCTGATGCTCAAAAAAAGATATTGCCTTCATACCTTCATAAAAATGATCCTTTTCATATCCCACAAGATAACTTTATATAATATATAATAAGCTCCAGGTGAAGCCAAGTACATAGGCATGCATACACTGAACCTAACAAGAAAACGACACAAAATAAGTTGAGGGTTATCTAATTAAGATGTGGTTGGAAGACAAGCTTTGACCCTAAAGTGTGGTCTATTCTTTCATTATATTAATTGGGTCTGAATGGAAGAATCTTGTAAACTGTGCTCTTTCAAAAAAAAAAAAAAAAAAAAAAAAAACCGCTTTGTTTTGTTTTATTATGTGTTTCTACAGTTGGATGATGAAAGTCCACATCCACTAATTTAGAAAATAATCTTGAGTTTAGAATAAAAGAATACTTTCTTCATTCTTACGAGGCATTTTAGGGAACCAAAAGCAAAACCATAATAAGTTCAAGGTGAACAATATCATACCATTGTGAAGAGTTGTGTTCGTCTAACACCCACAACTTTACATATAGCTTCCCTTAGGGGCTCTTAGGCCAACTTGTTTTAAGGTTTACAACCATTTATCGAAACTTTTTTATCTGACGTACAATGGTTGATTTGTAAATGCATCCACAAGCACGTTATATATATATATATATACTCTTTTTCGTCGAGAGTTCATATTTTAATTATTTGAGCTAATTGGGCCGGAAACCCATGGGCTAAATATTTAAAGCCCATAGCATGGTCCCAAGGCCTAAAGCCCATAATTTGGGTCGGTATTGTAATTGATAATGACTGCAAATAAAATAACAATCAATTTATATTAATTACTCTACGAGATATTGGTATTATATAACCTTGAAATAAACCACCAATTGTCGAAGCACCACTTAATTTTTTTATAAAAGAAATTAGCTAAATTAATTAAGATTTTAAAGTAATGATTTTCTCTATCATAAACAAAGTTTTTCCACTAAATTAATTAGGTGGGTTTCTGAAATAAAATTAAAATATATGTTAGGTAGGATTATCAATCAATAGCAGAAATGGGAAAAGGTTTATCGCTTATCTACCCGCCATTAATGGTTACAAAAAAAAAACCAAAAATTTAGAAAATAAATATTTTTATTTATTTATTGTTTTTTCTATTTTTAAATAATTGTTTTCAAAAAATAAAAAAGAAACTTCCCATTTTTGTTAATATTTGTACTCATTAGATTAAATATATAATTTCAACAAATTTAAAATCACATAATTTTGAATATTCATTTTTAAGAAAATTATTTGAGACTTTTTTATCTTTTGAAAAGAAAACTTCCGAGATAAAAACAAAAATGATTATCATGTTTATTTATTTTAATTAAATAAGAAGGAAAAAGAAAGGAAAGATGATAATTAAAAATATTTTTGTGTATATAAAAACAAGAAATAAAACATAGAGTGAGAAACAAGAAATAGAATATAATAACACTACCAAAACATATTAATGATATTATATAAATATTAATAAAATAATATCTATTGTTCTTATCTAAAAACCTACTTTATTTCAAATTTCTTATATTTTTTATTAATATTATTTTATTGGGGTATGGGATTTTACTTTTATCTTTATCTTGAAAACAACTTGGAAATTATTATTATTATTATTATTATTATTTTCAGAAAAGATATTAAAAAAACCAATATTTTTTTGTTATAATTTATTTGTGTTCATATATATTTGGTCAATGGTGTGGTTCCATATAAAATATTTTTATTATATACTCGAAATTGTTTAAAAAATAATTTTAGGAAAGATTAAAATAATTAGTGTGGCATAAAGATTGGTAAGGTTGCACTATGGGGGTTTGGGGTGGCAACAAGTGGTCTTTCTTTCTTTAATTTAAAATAAATATGGTTATTCGTGATTATAATTTTTAATTTACGCCACAAATTTTGCTCTTTATTTAAATTCTTTAATTAAGGAAACGTTGCGTTTTATTAAAACGACTTTATTATATATAATTGTTATTCAATTATTTTAATTGCTTCATATATTTATTCATATGCCCACTTTACTCGTGGTGGATTTTAGATGGAGAATGAGAACATTTCATATTAGTCGGGATAGGATTATATTCCCTATCTCTATTCTACCTTCTTGTCCTATTTAATATAAATATATTTTCAACATTTTTTTATTTATATATATGCTTTTTTATTATAAAAAAATAGTTTATTTTAAAACTCTAAGGGTAATATTTAAACTAAATACTGTGACGTATATATATTTTTAATGGTTAAAAATAATGTTATAATATTTAAATTTAAATTTTTAAAAATTATGCTTGAGATTCTTTTTTACGGTGAAAAATGAAAATTTTTAAATATAAACTGGAACTCAATCTAAAAAAAAAAAAAAAAGAAAGAAATTTCTGAAGATGGAGATAAAGAAGGCTTCTTCACCCCGGTCCAATGGACATCTTTATTTATTCATCATGGCTACATATAAATAAATATACATACGAACAAAAAAAAAATTAAATTTTTATAAATAGAATAACGAAGTATAAATTTTAATATTATGTAGCATAAAATTTGAAAACATGCATTTTCTTAAAGTTATAAATTATAAGATGAATCTTATATTTAATTACATGTATTAACTAATTTCTAATGTGTTTCTATTTTTTTTTTTAAGTTGTGATTTATATACCTAAATTTTATTTATTGTATCAAGTTTTTGTATGGATGGTTATATATGTTTAATTTTAATGTAGTATAAATGAGATTTAAATTAAAATTTAGGGAAACAAAAACTATTTTTTAAAAAATAGATTGTGATGGGTATGAAATAGGTGTCAGTCCATATTTTTTAAAAAAGGCGGAAATGGACAAAACTCATCAACTGTATTCAATATAATTCTATATAAATAATGCTTCCCTCCATTGTCAAATATATTTTTCTTTTATTAAATTTAAATAAAAGTCATATTTTTTTCTTATTATTTCCTATTTCTATTATTTTGTTTCTTATTGTTTCCTATTTAACTTCATATTACGGTATAAATATTTTACGTTTACTTTTAGAACTAAGGTTAATTCTTTATATTTTAAAATTTTTTAATAACCCACTTCCATTTAATGTTTACATCATCAAATGTTTTATATATAGGGTAAGATGATGACTTAGAAAAGTTTTAATTTAGAGGGTAAACATTTTTTATTTTACTAAATAACTCATTAATTTACCTTAAAAATATTTCCAAATTTTTCACACAAAAAGAAATCAACTAAATAAATAATTCAGAAAAATATGAACAATTTCATTTTTCATTTTTGAAAATTAAGATTGAAGAGAGAATAATATTTTAACACAATACAGTAACTAAATATTTAATGGATGATAAGTTATGGAATTCGAAATTAATGGAAAATTACTGGTAGCAACAAGAATGCAAACGTTTTTTTTTACAGTTTTGTATAGATTTAAAATTTTTGTAAACATAATAATATATGGAAAAATCATATTTTAATATATAATTTTGCAATTAGTTTAAAAATCTAATCATTTTAAAAAATATATTTCTCTCTACAGGATGAAAATAAAACATTTAAAAATGTAAAATTGTAAAGAGAAAAGAACGTAAATTAATTAAATTAGGGGTTCTCTTTTTCATCCTTCGGACCTCATTTTTACTTTTCCCTTTAACCAAACAATATATTATTATAATAATTCCTTAAAAATTATTATAATATTATTTATAAATTGATAATTATTATGCATTGGTTCTGTAGAAAAAGTAGACCATGTTATTATTAATATTATTATTTTAAATTGCTACTTTTTCAGAAACAAAATAATAATAATTATTATTGGTATTAAAAAAAAAATGAGGCACCCCACTTTTGAAAAATCAAATACATTTTATATTATTATTTCTGTGCAGGATTCCCAACCATACTCAATTGCCATTTTTTTAAGAAATAAAAAAATAAATACCTAAGAAAATAGTTCATTATGGCCATAATTCAATATTCTTTTTACTTAATTAATATTTTGAATCTAAATTTGGGAGTCTTTGGTAAACTTAAGTTAGGCCGCCAATTATCTAAACTGCAGAAACAAGGTTTCATTGTGTGAGCATTTCCCCCTTCATGTCAAAAGCTAAGTCTTTTATTTTTATTTTTAATTTTTCCTTCATATTTCTTAAATCTTTTTCCATTTTCTGAAAAAAGAAGGTTTTTTTTTTTTTTTTTTTTT